GTTAAGCTTTATCATGTATTTTTAAAAAGCTCATAGTGATAAGAAATATGAATAATAATAAACATTCTTTAACTAAGATAATCGGTACTATAAATGCAAATTATAAGATTTTTATCGGAAGAGTCCCAAAAAATACCACATGATCCAAAACGTTATAAGGAACTAATAATAGAAAACATTTTAAACTCTCGAAATGAGCTTAACATTGTTTTTCTTTTTATTTAAACTTCAAACTCGTAACTGTTGTAGTTTTCGCAACTACACAATCTCTTGTTCAAAGCGCTTTTTCGCAAGTAAAACTCATGTTTGGAAATATTTGCTTAGATGATTTAGATATGTAAATTATCAGCGCGCCATCTAGTATCATTTTATATAACTACAACAATAACCTGGGTAGGAATAACTTGAATACCATCTTAGACAAACTACATATAACATAACATATATAACATATACCTTTCAAAGTTTTTTTTTGTATAATTTAATTGCATTGTTTGCAAGTTAATAATATGTAGTCACCTAAAACCTTTAGTTGAAATATGCTTACGCCATCTACCGGTTGTGCTTTAAACTATCACATCAGCAATTTTTTGTAGTTTAGCATTCTCCCAACAGATGGCAGTATACTTTAATATATAAATTCATATTTTGTTTAATTCAGGACATAACTAAAAATGTAGGCTATAATATGACCGCGTGCATCAGCTACCTTCCCGTTACCGAAAAAACGCAGCCTTGCGGACGGACATTCACACAGACAAAAATTTAAAACTTGTCTTATTGTTATCAGCTACGCAAAGGCATTATGTGTACGAAATATTTTTTATAGTACATATAATACAAACACTCCAATTTTATTAATATGTACACTTTAATGCGTCTCGTTATTCTCCTCTTTCATCCCTAACTTGCTGTGTCTTGAAGTTGATTATGATTATTTTAGTTTTATATTATTCTTGAAGAAGTTTGTAGTAAAAGATAGGTCCTGATGATATTATCATATGAAAATTTTGCATGAAATATAAATACTATTATATAACGACATTATTCCTTCTATGAAAGTATTATAAATATTCCATCTACACAATAAATATTTCTATATCATTCAATTTTACTTTTACTTACGTATATTTTATCGATAAAATGACTGCGCAGCACTACGCCAATATATTTTTTTTGTCTCTGACTGCCCTTCATCATCATTCAGCTTAAAGCTCCGCAACAAATAGTTAAAAAGAATTAAACGACAATAAGTGGCTGGCAACTTTGCCACAGCGATGCCTTTGGCAATTTACACACACCATTTACGAATAATCAAAGTCTCAAAAGAAAAGCTACAAAAAATCCTCAATGACTGGGTTCAATTCCACCTATAATACTTACGTACTTAGAAGCTTGACTCTTCTGTGAATAAGTTAAGAAGTAAGAAGCCCAGTTTTATTTATATTTTTACCTATTCTATGTTCATAAAAAGTATGAGAAGGGAATGCGAAACAAATTTTTAAAATTTTTCATGTTAAATATATAATCTTAACCAAAAATTTTAAGCAAAATAGTCAAAATGTTGATCTAATTATAGCGTCCAATCTATAAGTACACGATGCAAATGATAACAATAAACATTAATGTGCTAAAATAATCATCTCTGCATTTTCACAAATGACAGATTCTCAGATAACCTATCTACTGGTGACAGGCTGAATTCAAGTATGAAAAGCCTAGTTAATGTTGTCAGTCAAAAAAACAATTATGAAGTTATAAAAAAGTTAGTGAATTTGTCGTCAATTTTATCTTGAATTTTACATTAATTATGTTCGAATTAAAAGTAAAAAATAGTATATTAATATCATTTTGTTTAATATATTCCAAAAAATATTTTGAAAAATAACCTAAAAACGAGACGAGAATAGGGTAAGATAAATTGCGTTGTGTTTTATTCAATTCTATTGAATTTTATTATTCTTATAATTATACTGTTTTAGTAAATTAATTTTTAATCAATGGTTATTTTTTTAATTTTTCGAGTGATACGAATTATCTGCATGACAACATTTTATTGAACCAATTTTCATCGCGTCTCGTAGCATGTAGCGCCATCTGGTTGGAATTCAGGATCTCCTGCGTATCTCCGGTTTAAATATTTTATAATTAATATATTTTGCAATTAAATTAGTGCTAATTGTTTTAAATCGTAATGTTACTTGTGGCGCAAATATTCGCGAGTGCGGGAAAAGTCGGAAAAACGTTTATTTGTATTCAGTTTATGTCTAAATAAATTACATACATTTTCCTTTGTAAAATCTTCATACCAGTCATTATTTTTCTCATCTATAACATCATATTAAAGTGCATGTAAATATCTAGTTCATTCGACATAAAATCATATGTAAAAGTAGTGTTTTTCAAGACGTTTTATGGTGAGATACCAAATTACACATATATTATGCTAGTTTCCTTTTCATTTTGCTTTGATGTTAGTATTATGAGGTATGCAGCTATAAACATATTTAAGATGTCTTCCTTTGCCATTTATTAAGCTTGCAATACTAATAAATTGAAAAAATACATACTTCCTTTATATTTTTCAAAAGTGACACCTTACAATAATCTATGTAAGCCTTCGCAAAGATTATTGGTAGATAAATGTTAAGAAAATTCGCTCATAAAAATCAGACAGATTGTCTGTTATTTTTTTAATTTTTATCTGCGTTTTAACGTTGCAAATGTAAGATGTTAAATGCTGTTGTAAAATGCTTTAATTGTTTTTATCTGTGAACGTTGTTTCTTATGCATGTTTTGAAAAATAAGATGAAATGAAAATCATTGTATACAACATTATATAAAGTTAAACTAAACTGGGGTGAAACAAAACAAACTTTTGTATTTTATTTGTATTTTGTATATTACACGAATAGGCAAGGTGTGAATCAAAATGTATTCTTAAAGATACAACAAAATTATGGAATACGGTGTTAACTCCATCTAATACAAGTGTCTATTGATAACATCAAATTGTAGTCAAAAATTCATTCCAATTCATAGCAATAAATACTTTAAATAGCAACAAATCTTAAAATAACATGATCAATTTTGGACAGCAAATTACGGTATAAACGTCGTTAATATAATATTATAATATCATTTAAGCGAGATAAATAAAAATAACATTGTAGCATACTAAATTTCCATTTAATTTGCCAATTTTAACATCAATTTTTAAATTTAAACATTGTGTAACTAAAACAATGGTGTGTAGGAGAATAAAAACTAATACAATTATTTTGTGAGAAAGTACATTGAAAGAATATGGAATATCAGACAGTTTAAAATATATTTTGAAACTGATTTAATTTCATTATACGTTGATTTCGGAGTTTTAATTAAAACAATAGAATTTCGCACAGTAAATAAAATAATAATGCATTTATACTTTCGAATATGCGATTAAGTTTTACAATAGCCACTAATTAGATAAGTATACTACTCTATGACACATATCTACTACGATTTTTTTTTTATAAAATATGCAAAGTCAAATAGTGTACAAAACGAATTGTGCCTGAAGCGTTTTATAGTTTCGCTACATCTAAATAACCATACAAAATAAATGTTAAGGTTTTTATACGGGAAGAGACAGTAATAAGACACAGATTGAATTTAGTTTGAGCTGATTTTAAAATATCCAAGATATAGTTTTCGAATTAAAAAAAAGTTAAAAAAAACAATCGTTTTAAAAGATATCATAGATATAAAAACAAAAAACAATGCAAATCTAACAACATAATTATATGCTTTTTACTGAATAATTGTTTAAAATAAAACTAAGTTCTTTGGACAGCCATAGAAGGACTGCTCGGACCGCAGTTTGCAATTGCTGCAGCCGGCCATACGCCGACCGCTTGAAGCTTTCGGTATTCGTATGTCGGCCGTCAGATGAATTTTAAACAATAGAAAAATTACATCCATACTAAATAAATATAAATATTATCTAGGAAATGGACTTAGTTACACTTCAATGTCGAAATGACGACAATTCACTGAATTAATAAAATAACAGTGAGGCCGGCTTTCGTAATGAGACTCGTAAATGTTTGGTATTTATGTATGTAGTAAGTAGATAAATAAAGTTAGTTTGTTCTGGTTTTTCTTCTTTCGAATGCCATTTCGTGATATGTTAAACAACACCCTGTTAGCGGGGTACACCATTGATGAGTATTATTGATCCCTCTTCTTGTGCATCAGTCCTTTTGTTGCCCTTAATTGAATCCTCATAATATAAGATTCCAAATTTATGACGGCTCGAGATTCGCCCGCGAGCGTGTTTCCGCAGATGGACCCACTGCGAGTGGAGGAAAGCACGCGCAACGCATTACGTGCCTTTGATATCTAATATTATTGTGTTCTGCGCAGTGTCATGTAAAATTCGGAACCGCCATAAAGTTTGGATAGCGCTGTTACACGCGTCTAGTGATTCTTGCTATCAAAATGAGTTCAAGTTGAATTTTAATGTCCTATACTTTAATGTTTTAACGGAAACAAATATCGCGACGGCAAATATAAACGAAAATTAATTCTTTAAAAAATTTGAATATTTGAATTACGTTCATTTTAACTTTGATACATTACTTTAGCTTGAATTTATATGGTTCGTAATTAATTATACCAGAAAAATAAAATAAAATACGTCTTTTCACTTGTTATCACACGCAGATATTATAATTTCTATTAAACTGTGCTGTAAAAATATTCAGAAAATGTAAATGTGGTAACAAATTTATAAATAAATACAAAAAAACAAACTTTTACAAAGTAAGAACAATAAATCCATTCCAAATACTAAAGTAGGTATAATTAATATAAACATGGAATGTCACTCGTAAAATAATTAATTTTCAATGCAGAAGTTTTTAATCTTTTTAGTTTTTAATCTTTTTAGTGTTTAATCTTTTTAGTTTTTAATCTTTTGAGTTTTTAATCTTTTGAGTTTTTATTCTTTTTAGTTTTTATTCTTTTAATAAATTGTTGATTTCAATTACTTTAGAATTCATTTTTATCTTTATGGTATAAGGGGGACCCACGAAAAATTAACTCTTAAGGTAATTAACTCTTTCAATGGTAATTTTCCTTAGTTAAAAACTTGATCGTTATTTAAGATTAAATTCAGCTGCACTGAAAACATTTACAATAAGATCTTAAAAGTAAGCGCATGTTTAAACATAATTTTAATCAGATTTTCATGGCCAGAGACTAGCTTAAGTACACCTTGTTAAAATTGTTAAACTAAACAACATGATTTTATAATTTATAGATGTAAAGAGTTTAAATTGATAGAAAATTAATGAAGGCTTAATATTTAAAATAAATAAAGTATAGAATAACCTATTTGTACAGAGAACTAGAAGGCACAGTAGTGGATAGGCAGAACAGAAGGGAATTTCTTTATAGATATACGTTAAAAAAAATCTAAAATACATCAAGAGTTTTAAATTCAAAAGATCTTGAAGCACTATAATACGACATGTTATTTGGTAAAGCAGTAAATTATACTGAATAATGCTTAATCTAAAGGGTCATAGTTTACAACTTAACCCACACAAGATGAATAAGACTTCGAGAATAGATGAGAAGACACCAATAATGAACCTGAATATACACCAATATTGACGTCAACATTATATTTATGCATCTTAATAATAAATAAGTTTTTGGTTAAAGTTACATAATTCGACTTAACCATCAACGGAGTTGGTCAGATTGTAAACGGCAAGTTGTAAAGCATCCGTCATAGTAAAATTTCATAGAAGAGCAGTAAAGTAAGGTAGACCAATACGTCAATGCAGTTCTGCTATTGCTTGATAGCACACTGGGAGACAGAACAGTACAGTTTTGATTATTCTGACTGTTGAATTACTGCTTTCGTGTACAAGTAGCATAATTCAAACAATTGTAGTACTGCACTGTTCACTAATCTGTCTCGCTATGCTGCCTTCGTGTGAAACTAACATAAGTCGTGTGTCGTCTAAATACAATCTGATCATCTCCCCTTACACATACACTAATTGTTTCCTTACAATAAATTAAGATTGACAAATGTGCAGCACAGTAAAGGTTCATAAGACATAGAATAAATACATTTATCTCGATAAAACAGTCCGGTGACGTAATACAAAATAAAAAAGTATTTACGTTTCGGTTACTGTAATGAGATCCCGATTTGGATAATCCGACGGCGGAACTAAAAACGACGATTAATTTGTGACTGTTTGCGACATATGTGTGGCACAAGTAAAGTGTACATGTATTTAAATTCCAAGACATTTCTATAACATCACTTTAAAATAACTTTAATTTAAATTGTAAAAACAATATATACAATCATAAAACATTATAACAGAATGTTAACATACGTTTGCCTGAAATTAAAAGAGTGAACTAATGAGCGCCATCGGATTATCGCTAAGTAAAAAGTAAAAGTGTTTTTGTGCGACCGGACTGCGGCTATAGTGTGCTGCCCCAGCTTAGGGTGCAAGCATCTTTGACAGCTCCTCATCCTGGAGACATCCCTTGAGGAACTCCTCCTGAGTGAGCTGGCCGTCGTTGTTCTCGTCCATTTTCGCGAAGATATTCTTAGCGCGCTCCTCAGCGGAATCGGCCGGCCTGTTGCTGGAGCAAGCGCCAAGCATATCGTAGATCGCCTGGAAAATATTAGATGGAATATTATATTATGATGCTTCCGAAATGTCTAAGAAAGTACCAATAATTTTTAACTATGACTCGTAATTTGATTTATATATATTGGCTAAAAAAATTAGGTATTTTCTGAGTGTATTTTCGAATTTATGACCCGGTAAAGTTAAAAGAAAACGAATACTTTTTATTTCATTAATCATAATTTAGCGATACGATGACAACTTTACAATAAAATGAAATCCAATTAAATTTGATATAGGACTGAAAGTTTATTAAAGCACAAAATGTGTCAAAATATCTCTTCGTAATTTGTTGCCACAACATAATTATGATGGATATTAAATTAAATAAAATTCATTTCTGAGCATTCAGTACTGACAACCTTTTTGCAAATAGCTGTTATCCCTGTCTGTTTACTAGAGTGGTCCAGCCAATGTTTATTATTAATTTACGATATGTCCAAATAATTGATTGATGATTTGACTAATAATTTTATTATGAACTAACCTGGACGATCTTGGTCATTTCTTGGATGTCAATAACTCCGTTGCCATCGACATCATACATGCGGAAAGCCCACTTGAGTTTTTCCTCGGGGGTTCCGCTGGAAGTGACATGGATCGCCTGTAGGAATTCCTATAACAAACATAAATTTCGATACACGGCGATTACCCAACAATAAACCTGAGAACGCTCAAAGAACAATATCTCGCAAAATAATGTTAAATATAGCATAATATAACAATAGATGGCGCTGCGCAATTAACATCAATACAAAATATCAGAGTAAATATTTACGCTCAGCTTATTTGTTTATCAACGCCAAACTAATTTTAATAATAAATATCATAAACATCGCAATACAGTTATGAATCGCTTCAATGGATTAATAACGTTTCAATATCTAATAAATACCTTGAAGTCAATGTATCCATTCCTATCCATGTCGAAGGTGCGGAAGACATGGTCGCAAAACTCGACGGCGTTGCCGGATGGGAAGAACATCTTGTACATGTCCACGAACTTTGCCGGTGTCAGACGGCCGTTGGGGCAATCTTGCTGTAATTCAAATATTTCATTAAATTAGTTTAATTAATTACAAATAATAAGATTTTTTTTTATTCATACGGATAAAGGATACTTTAGAGTCGTAGTCAGATTTAGAAATTAAGAAAGCATCAATCCTAAAACCGAAAGTTCAAGATAGATTCTAATGGCGCTTAATAATTGAAAAAAGTTAGGAAAATATATTCCCAGAAAAATATTCAATTATAAAATAGTATAAATAAATCGAGACAGTATAATTTTTACCTTGAATCCTTTGTACCATTCTTTGATGGTAGTCTCGTCATAAGATGTATGCGTCTTGAGGAAATCCATATCCTCTTTGGTGAGTTTATCTTTACTAACGAAGCAGCCCATTTTGACTTCTGTAAAAATAAAAGAATGTGTCTTTGTGAAAAAAAACGTAATGGAACAGTTCTATCTTAAATACATTAAAAAATCGCTCTGAATTTTAGCAATAATAGTAAACATTGTATAAGTTGTGAGAAAGTTTTATTTCTGTCGATTGTACTAAGCTATAAATCATTGTATTTTTATTGGTACAATTCCATTACAAATTATTAATAATAATTAACACAGCATAACATTCGCATAGCCTTGCATTACAAAGTTAAATATCAAACCCCAGATATATAAAAGATCTTCTATATCTAAATAAATGTAACGAGTAACATAATATTAAAGGTAAATGGAAAGCAACACATTTATATTTATGTACAAAAAGTTAGTATAAATCTGTAGTAAATTATCATCATTTTTTTAAAGTAAAGAACGGTTAATACAAGAAAATTAAGACCTTACTTCACGAGAAATACAAGAAAATTTGACATGCCTAAGTTTTATTCGAACATGCTTATAAAAGTGCACATTCTTTATTAGAAAAGTATTATAAAAGCTTTTAGCATATTCTACGTAGTTAATACATTTATATATTAACTACGTAGAATATGCTAAAAGCATATATTTCGTATACTAACTAAATAGGATAAAGACTAAAATTACATGCAAATATTGTAAAGTTGGCTAGTGGGAAAGCATTCGCTTTTAGTCAATTCTCCAACATAGCAAGTGAACGCTGCTTATAGCTATGACTAGATGTCGCCCGCGACTCCGTCAGCAAGTAAATAAAAAATATTAGCGTATGTGTTTTTCCAGACTATGTTTAACATATCTGCCAAGTTACAGCGAAATTCATTCAGCCGTTTATATGGGAAAAAGAATAGTGATGTTTTTACGGTTTTTCCGGTAACTATTCGAAATTTTCTCACCTTTTAAACCTTCCCTAGACCTTCACGAACGTTTCAAGACCAAGATAAGATGAATCCGTTAAGCCGTTTTCGAGTTTTAGCGAGACTAACGAACAGCAGTTGATTTTTATATAAATGGATAATATAAAATGATACAGGAATTCTTCAATGATGTAAAAATTTAACATTCACAAATCTGGTTATGGTCTTATATAGATATTATTCGATATTACATTTTTATTATATATAACCTCAATAATTGTTACGGAAAATACCTAAGTTTATTGAAAACTTATAAAAGGAATAATAATATTATAATATCGTAATAAAATAAGTATTTTATTCAAGGCATTGTTGACTGGATCTTTTAATGTTAAGTGACGTTGAAATGCTAGATACGAGGCCGGTTAGCCTCGTACAAGTCTATTCACTCAGTAAAAGCCTCGCAATTTTACTCTTGGTAAATCTACACTGGAAATCGTCTTCGGATCGTCTGAGACAGTCAATTATTTGTAAAATTGCCTATAAATGTCTACGGAAATCAGGAAAAATGTAAGAAGATTCAAACAGTTTCAATTCATTTATAATATACTTTATTGAAGGAAAATTACTGCCACAAGTGTGTTAAGGCGTACTTACCTCATTAGTAAAGCAAAAATTTGATATTCGAAGAAGTTCCTCGCTTTAATACCTGCATAATATTTGCAAATATTAAGGATATTCAATAGAAGTAAATAAGGTTACGTGAATATATTAGCATGGTACTATTAGTTTTAAGTATTAACTTGACGTCGCATCACTAACCTATTAAAAGAAAATGTGGTAAACACTTATATATCGCCATAGAAAGAGATCTTTAGTTTTTTGTTTTTAAATCCTAATAGCCTTTGTCGAGATTGCAGAAAACAATATTTGCTAACTTTACACAAGCCCAAATATAGCACAATATCGTCTAAAAGTTGAACTTCTAATTAAAATTGTAAGCTAGGTTGTATTGAAGAAACGACAGTATAGAAAACCGCAGCCTCTTGCCTCTGCGTTTGAAGTATGAGAGGCTTTTTCGAAACGTACAGCGCATTTCGATTTACCTCGTACTAAAACCGGCTCACTATTAGTGTTTATTGAGAACAGCAGATGAGCCGGTTTTAGAAGTCATATAACTAAGGCTGAATTTCCATTTTCCTTATTTCGCCGTACGTCGAGAAATTCATTTTTGCGACAAAATGTAAAATTGTGTGAATAAAACTTTAGAATTAATAATCCATGTGATGATTTAGAGTTGCAGAGTAAACAAATAAATTATAGCCAAAGAGATTCAATATAATATTAGGTATATAATAGGCATTACGAGCATAAAATCTTACTAGTATTATAAATGCGAATATTTGGATTTATGGCTGGAGGAATGGATGTTAGTTTGAAGGTATCGGTACGTTTGAATGGACCCAGATGAAATTTGGCATACATATAGAACATAGTTTGGAAGAATACAGAGGCTACTAATTACGTTTTTTTTTAAATTTTGCGCGGACAGAGTTGCTGGCTAGTATATTATATAATTAAATTCCGTCGTCACAAACGTTAGTTGTAAAGTTTTTTGAGCGTATCTTTTGATCCATAATGTGCCATGTTTTGCTACGATGATTTGTCACTAGGCAATACCATTGTAAAGCCAGTGTTATAAATCTTGCTTTACTCCGCACAGCGAAATATATCAGTCGGAGTCTGGTTTAGGGTTGTATAACGCATGCTACCTAATTCATACTTTAAATTTTTTTCACATGCCCGCTAGCTACATTAAATGTTTACTTAAATAGTTATTTTTTATTTGGAACAAATACAGTTTTCCGATTGAATAATTAGCAAAATTCATGGAAAATCTCTATTGTAATATCTACTTTGTGGCTGCCTGTATATCTTACGAATAATATAAATGCGAATGTTTGGATGGATCGACGTTTGTTTGAAGATATCTCAAGAACAGCTCAACGGATCTTGATAAAATTTGGCATGATCATGGTCTGGAACATAGGCTACAAATTAAGTTTTTTTTAATTGCCCCCGGACGGTGTTGCGGGCAACAGCTAGTCATATATAAGTATAATCTAAATATATGTAGATGGCAGAAACAACTGCATACAAAGTTAAGTAAGTTAGCATGAAACATCGTGAGATGTTAATGTTTTAAATATACTCTGAGACAGGTATATCACAAAGTGTAACTTAGTAACTTGATGTAATTAACAAGCTTAAATACATTGACTTTTTAACAACATGGTAATGACAGTGAAACAAACCTTTTATATCCCAAAACCATGTAATTGAATCCTGATCAAATGTCACTATTCCTCTAGCTAACCACTGATGACTAAGAATTTTAAGAATCTTAAATAACTAAAATAAAATACCTCGTTATTCGGTATCTCCGCAAAGATAGACAAAATATCATTTATTAAATTTTCTTTTCAGTTTATGCCAAGAAAACATTTTCATAATTTAATACCTGGTATTTAATTTAGAAAGCATTCATTAAAAGAATTTTATTAGTGCTGTCTTAAATTCATGATCATATTAATAATGAAATTTTATCTGTCAGATTTACTTCATCTTGAATTTCCATTGATAATAAAATTCATAATATTTCTACAAATAATCTTATGTAATTTGTTTTTCTAACAGACAAGAGGGTATTAATTTCGCGTGTTACGTTGGAACCGACATTTATTGTGTCCCATTTTAACCTTTCGTAGCCTAACTTATTTTGATAAATTTTGAAGTCAGAAGTTACCTAATAGGCCTTTAAAAACTATTGCTTATTTTGTATTATATTTATCAAGTATGCTCGAACACAGCGACTAGAATCTAGAAAAGTAATGCGACTTGATGGTCGTAATACCACGACCTTACAAATGTATATAAATAAATCCTAGAAAGTCCTTCATATTTCAACACAAAATATCTTGGTAGTCTTGACGGCCAATTTATGATTTATATGTAATGGGTTTATAAGGTTAAACGTGTCAGCCGAGGTGACATCAATTAATTCACTCGCCTTAAAATTGAATTATAGTGCGCCAAGCTTCCCTGGTCGGTAATAGAGGCGCTGCTGTCGTTATGTTCATTATTATATTATCTGAAATAACCAACCTCAACAGCAACACCTTTCTTGGCGGTTCAGATATCCTTGTTTGACTACAGTACAGCGCAGTACAGTGAGAACCTTATAACCCTTTTTGCTAAAAGGGGTCCGCCAATGAGCTATCAAAATTTATTTTGACCAATGCCCACCAGGTTGGTCTTTATATACGATGCAACTTGACCTTAGAAAGCTTAGCACTTCTATTCCTGAGAATGTTTTCGTATCTTTATCGACAAAAATCATATACAATTTTTAGCATATTTTGTCGTTGACGTTGCGAATTGAGTTGTGTTTAACTTGTGTACATAAATCTAGAAGATCGTATGCAATCTACTTGTGCCTCTCTGTAGCAAACACAAGCACTCTAAATCGACGTCGTCATGTCCTAGACCAGAACACGTGTGGTAATTGACAATGTACACTTTAAATTCACTTGAACGTGCGATGTGCACACATGCGGAGAGTCGGGCGTAAAGTGGGACTGATAGCGTGTAGACTTTAACTATATCGAAAGCAAACAGTACGAAGCGAGAAGCTATGCATAATTAAAATTAAATTAATATAAAGCTTTGTTGATGTAAGGGACCTCAAGTTACATGAAATATTACACTAGTTCAGAAGTTTTATGAGAACTGAAGCCGTAGATTTAGTTAACAGGATGTTTTTTTTTAAATTCCACATATCAATATTTCTTACGGATCTAACTATAAATATGAATTTTGAACTAAAAGTTTGAGGTAATTTACTTATAGATACGCTACTAAAATATCATGTAAAACTTTTGACTTACATGTACACTCGCGGAAATCCGCAGTTAAAATAACCTTGTTCCTTGCAACTAAATACTCCACCCTTTCTTCCAAAAACTAATTAGGAAGCAGCGAGTTGACAAACGACAGGTTAACAATAACAAGCAATCAGTCGTCTAACAATGATATATATTTTTACTTAAAGACTCTTTTATCTTAAATAAACGTTG